GATTTGCACTTTGAAGATGATGCTTTGTGAAAAAAAAAGGAATTGTTCATTTAGCCTCTGAAGAACAGCTTTATGGCTGCATCCTGCAACTTTTTGGAGAAGACTGCTCTCTGCACATTCAGGCAGTGCTGATGAAATTAGTGGTGCGCTTGCATGACTGAAAATTCCAGGACTGGGAACTCAGCAAAGCGGGAAGCATGCTGTTATAACCACATCTTAATGGTTGAACTCTAGCCTCCTTTTATCTTCTTGCCTACCATACTAATGAACCTAAATGCCCTGCAACACTGTTGCTATCATCTTTCTGAACGCTGCAGAAATATACTGTGTATAACACAGTCGGAAATAGCTATAGCTTACTTCTGGCATGCTATTTTGTTTCTGGAGCAGGCATCAAGATCAGCAAAACACAGTTTCTGAAGATGCAGCCCCATACAGATGAAGAAGAGTAGCTTGACCAATACTGAAATTTTTAGACAAAGTCGCTATGCCTCTTTGCCTTGTTAGAGATCTGATTTTGCTGCCCTACTCAGACTAACATGTCTTTAATTTTAAGCCTTCATAGAAATTCCATTTGAAAAATTTCAGCTGACTCCATTTGGCAACTAGGTTTAGGGAAGAACATCTTTATCTCTCTCCAGTCTTCTGGGGCTACTGGTTGTTTGGTGGAGAGCATTTGAGCTAATGGAGCTCACTTGAATTCCCCTTAGGAATTAGATTCTTTCCCGAGTACAGGCTGCGGGATCACTTATCAGCTGTTCTGCTGAATAAACTGAATACCCAAGGAGCTTTTTAGACTTTTCTTTGTGAAATCCATGGCTTTTAGAAAGGTCTGCGATGGTGCTGGTGATTTTTATCATGATAATACTCCTAAATTATACTCATCTGTGTCCAGGCACAGATGAGAATAATACATATAATACACACCACATGCTATCTACAGAATTACTCCAGCACAAGTGTGGGGTCCATGCCTTGAGCACTTCATGGTGCAGAGGTTTTCAAGATGAGTCTTTGCAGAGTTCTACTTGCTGGTTTCTATTTCTAAAATGATCTTGTTTCCAAATTTTAATTTTCACAGTAAAGCATTGGTTATAAATGTATATGCAATTATGGCATTCTACCATCTTTAGGAGGACTTCCCAGCATCTCCTCTGACAATTTTATTAAATAAAAGTATTTGTTTCCCACTTTGGGAAGGGAGAAAGCTGTGCAGTTTGGTTCTAGCTACAGCAAACTTATGAAAAACTATAAAGAACTTAATGGAAAAATCCTACAGATTTAAAAGCAAAATACCATCTCTACCACCCAACTCTGTAGGATGATTCAAAGCCAAATGAGAAGAGACTAATTTTACATCTCTGTATATTAGGAGCAATTTCTTAAAAGCTGAATATTGTTTTTACTGTGAAACTGACATCAGTGTTGAGTCAAAGAAACCCATTACAGTATTTCTGGATTTAACTCTTCCTGGATCAATTGGAGGTTAAGAGTGATGGGAAGGTGGAAGCAAGTGGGAAATGTGTTGCAGTGCTCTGTTCCTCTGTTATATCACACAAGAAGGAGCATCTTGCAGAAAGCTTTTCCAGTGTGGAGTGTGTGGCTCCTGAACTCTCTCCTGCTCTTGCAGGTTAGGTGTAAGAATTGCCTTTCTAATGTTGAGGGAGGGCAGTGGATGTGGTGGATTCCCAGCCATTAGAAATGTTTAGGTCAAGACTTGCTCTATGCAAGCCACAGCCAATTAAGCAGAAATAGATGCAGGCTGAAATCTGTGGCCTGTACTATACGGCAGGTGAGGCTGGATAAGATGGTTGCAGTGGTCCTTTTTGGTCTTAATGATTCAGAAAATCCTGCAAAGCGTTTGCACAGGAGACTGTCAGCATGCGTGCTTTCATTTCTTAGGGCACTGCATGAATTGTATAAAATCATAGGCTGACTTAAAAATGGTGCAAGTATTAGGCCCACATTCCACTGTTCTGATACAATGAAGGAATTAATTTAAAAAAATAATTCTGGCAAGTATTCTGGTAAGCTGAAAGGCGACTAGGAAGTGCCTGCTCTTTCAGACAGTGCAGGCAAGTCGCTAATTGCTCTAAACTAACTTCACTGAAGTGCAGAGCAAGAGAGCAGATAACACAAAAATGTATTAGTTGCCTTTGTTGCAATATAAAAGACTGTGGTGAGGGATTAGGTTTTTCTGTTCAGCAGAGGAATGGCCTTAGTTTCTCTCCCCCTCCACGTCTCCCTTTCTGCTGCAGTTCAAGAACCTCGAGACACACAAAACAATTTGGCAGCGTCAGCAGCACAGTTTGACAACACTCGGGGTGGCACAGCGCTGCCCCACGGAACAGCTTCCCGACGCCCTTTGAAGATCGCAGCTTACGAGCAGGCTGTATGCTGAGAACATTTTTATGGGAAGGCGCAGGCAAACAAACACAGATGGCTGCACTCGCCCTCCCCCTCCCCTTCCCCGGTGGGTAATCGGCGCTTGTATTCACGCACGTAATTATTGGGGATAATGCCGTATTATCAGGTCGGGCAAGTTTTTGTCGGGAAGGTTCACCTGGTAAGCAACACACGGTGATGGATGGGTTTTGTGTTACTTCACTTTGCTCGGGACCGGTGCCAACCGAATCACCGCCTGGCTGGTGTACCAGGTAATCAGGCACACCCAGCCTATCTCGAGCGGTGCTTGCCCAGGCCAGCCTTGTGTGAAAACAGCTGGGACGGGTGCCATACCGAACGCGTTCCCGCGAAACGGCTGGAAAAGTTCAGCTGCACTTTGAGGACGTGGTGCTACTTTTCTTGTGCTTACAGGGAAAAAAATAAAAATTAAATAAAAAATTAAAATTAAAAAAAAAAATTGAACGCCGCGAGGAAGCTTGGAGACCGAAGTGGAGAGGATGAAAAGCAGCGGTCGCAGCGCAGCGGTTGGCTTTCAGCTGAGGCCGGGGAGGAATGTGGGACGGCTCCCACAACATCTCGCAGCCTTGGGAATCTCTTCCGTTCCAGCTCCGCGTGCTCCACGCTGCCTCCGAGGGCACGGTCGGATGTTTGCTTGAGAAACAGCTGCGGTGGTTTAACAAGTTACTGCTTGATCAGCTATTTGTTACTGCTCCCCTCTGCCGGGGCGCAGTAACTGAATACGTGGGCTCTGCCCGGCTGTTGCAGTGCGGGGGAAAACAGGCTGGCTCCAACCCTTCGCAGGTAGGGAGGGTTGCCACATCTGAGCTGTGGGGGCAGCGATAAATGGTTAAGGGGCAGCGACTGCTTAAGCAGAGGCAGCTGCCTCCAAAACGAACGTCTGACTGTGCCATAAAAGACACTCGACACCATTAAACATCGGGCTGTCAGCAATAATTACAGAACGTGTTCGCACTGTTTAAAAAAGCAAAAACTACAGAGGGGAAGAGAAGTGACATGAACGCTCAAATGTGAAGAAACTAAATAACTACACTTGGAAAAGTAAAGTGTTGTTTATGTGACTAGAGAGTGCTGTTCCAAAAAAATGCAGTTTAGGAGCAAATTTTGCCAGCGAGCCTTTCATGTAGGAAGTGGGAATGATGAAGAGAAAAACTGCTCGGCCCTTTTGCTGTTTGCCCCCTTCTTTCTCTTTCCGTGTGTTGAAAGATAGGCAACCTACACGGCAGTTTTGTAATTCTGGTTGTTTAATGTAAACAAAGTGTTGTATCAGGCGTATATAAACTCACCTGTCTGCTTCAGCGTGCATGAGATATTGCGAGGCAGGTCTTCACTAAGGACACTAAACAATGAAGTCCTTCCTTGTGTCCTGTAGTCGATGAACGAACATCTTCAGCAGAAGAGTCACTCTTTAGGCAATGTGTGGCTTTTTACCTACGGTCATCACAGATCTTGTGACGTCTCCAAGGGCTCTCAGGCAAATAAATCAATGAAAAAGTGTGGGTTCTCAACTGGTTTATGCTAGGTGTTTGCTTTCATTGCAAAATCAGCTTTGAGTTTCTTCATCCTGGCCATTTTCCCCTGTCTGTGTGACTCTTTACATAGATGGGAAGGCGTGAATGTAAAACCATAGGCACTTGCAGTGGACACAGGAGGAGGTTTAGTGCTGCAAATGTATTCTTTTTAAATGATTAGATTTAAAACTGCTTCTGGCTCTCCCGAGAGAGCTTCTTTTTTGATGCTCTACAGCATTACAGTTCAGATAATAGTAAAAAAAAAAAATAATTCCAAAGATGTGTGTAAAATGTTATGGAAGGGCTATTCATATCCCTCAGTTTAGTGGCTTAAGTAGAAGCACTTTCTGAGGCTCGAATTCTCTCAGCCATGTGTGGAGCCATTTGAAGTCCTTACCCCACGCAGGACTGCCTGTGACCACGCTTCTTGCCGAGCACTCTGGTTTTGGTACTGCTGTCCTGGGCTGACATGTTCCATTCACATTGCCATAAGCTTCAGGAAGGCAACAGGTACTCACTCTGGCCATGCTGTTCCAGAAACCCACTCCTTCCCTGTACCAGGCATACCTGGCACAGGGCACCCATCCAAGACTGCCAGTGCAAGCTGTTACATATGCTTCTGCCATTAAGCCCTACGTGGGCACTCACCTATGCCTGCCAGTGCCCTGCAGCCTCCCATCAGCTTTAGATTCTCCCAGAAGGACCTCTGACCTCCCCTGGGCACAGAAGCAGGGATTTGTTCCCACTTCCTTGATGCTGTTTGGAGCAGGATGACTCGACTGGGAAAGTCAACTGAAGGCTTCATGCAAATTACCTAGAAAGTGGTAAATCAGTTCATTAACCCACTTACAAAATCAATATATCATGCAGGGAGCTGAACAAAACTTGGCAGCTCTGCCTGTATCCCCTTTGCACCTGAGGGAAGCCTGACTGAAAGAATCAGAGCCTCTTCACTCTGCCTGTGGCAGTAAGCAGCAGCTACAGACCCTCACCAGGATCTGCAGAGCAAGCCTTGCTTGCTAAGCTAGCTCTTGGGAACTTTTGTGCATAGGATGTCCAGCTGCAGGAGGCTTTTTCTTTAGTGGAAGTGGAGGTTCGCATAGAAATAGGTTGATCTTCCTGAGTCGCCAGTGGCACAGGTCCCAGAGCCCTGGGTTACTTAGGGTCAGTCCTCCTGGTGGCTGCAGTCATGACGGAGTGGTAAATCCATTATTGATTCTCAGATATTTCATCTGCTTTCTTTTGTAGTAATAAGATTAAAAAAAAAAATACATCACAGGAGAACATGTGTTTCACAAATGCCGTCATCGTTTTCCAAAACAGAAAGGCTGGTCGAAAAGCAGAGCTGGAAAAGCACGACCCCCCATTTTGTGCGTGGTAGGCTCCTCTTGACATTATGCACTGACGTGAAAGGATATGGCTTTCCTGCTGACTTCAGCGAGAGGTAGGGCTGTTTAAACAGTTTTCCCTAGAGTTGCTTTAGCCATATGTGTTTCCACATGCAGTGGGGTTAAAAGACTTGGCGTCCTTCCTGATCCTGTGCTTCACCACTGCGTTTGGGAGCAGCAGTGGTGGGCAGCGAGGGGAAAAGGAAGACATTAGTACACAACGAGAAGCTAAAACCTAAAGCCCAGCCCGTGCTGCGTGTTCCCACTTCTCGGCAACTGTGAGTCACACGCGTAAAACACATTTGCGCTCCGGTTGTGCGACTCGTCCCTAGAACGCTTCAAACTTTTTATAGCTGCTCCCACTTGCTGCAGTGTCACCTGCTGGTGAGATCAAAGCACTCAATAGCATGCTCCCCCGCTCTAAGCTAAACAAAGTCACCGAAGCCCTTGAAAACTCCTACAGATGTTTCCTCTCTGAAGACAAAAGGATATTTTTCTCCCCTCCCTTCCTCCTTCACACCAAAGAACAAATCCTATGCCTCGCTGAGTTTGTACCACCTCAGATTAATTGGCACTAATGCAAATGTTCGGGGCTGTGTGGGGGATGTTGCTGAGAGCATAATGGTTGTCGTATTTGCTTGCATGTGGTTACTCCACTTCAGCTGTGTAATTCATTGCTTTATAAAGTGCTTTACAATGCACTACAGTACAGGAAGCTAATCATATGCTGTAGCAGACAATGCAGCAGAGATTCGGAGAGTTGCTGCAGGTCTCCTAAGGCCCGTGCCCTGAAGTCCCCAGTCCTTTTCCATCAAAAATCCCCCTCGAGTGAGTGTCTATTTTGCCACCTGGAACAAACTGTTAGAACTGCCAGAACGTCTGGAGCTTTTCTGCTGGCTCTCTGTGGGATTCCCTTTCACTCCTTTTCGGTCTAATTCCTGTTCCCTTCACTCCCACCCTGGTTTTCTCTCCCTCTTTTCAAGCATCTTATTGGCAGAGTACTCTAAGAGTAGCAGTAAGAAGGATGTACAAGAGTTTCCATTCTAAGGGGGTTATTTTAAATTGCTTATGTTTCTGGCTGCAATTGTGAGCATTCGATAACAAGCCCAGAAGCAATTTTTTAATTGGAAAGTGTAAGTTGAGATAGGTACATGAACAAAGATTTCTTAAAAAACTGACACCTTTGCCTATGTAATTTTAACAGTTCTCTTAGACAACTGGTGCATGAGGAGACAGACTGGTGTTTGAGGTATCTCTTTGCTGTTCTGGTACAATTGATTGTTACTAACTAGTGGTCACAGGGTGTTTTCTATATATGCAAACTCTATGTACCAAACTATGCTAGTACTTTGCTCCCATTTGTAACTCAGGAAATCTCTTTCTTTGACCAGTAAGATAATGGGGAAGAAACATGAGCACCTGCATTAGACAGTTGCATTAAAAAAGTCAGCATGAGAGGAAGCAGTGAACCTGCCCAGCTGATTGCACAAGTTTTTGTGTTGGTCCAGTGTGCTGGCCTAGCAGAAGCTAATCAGGGTAGAAGTTCATCATTCAATTTACTTTCTAAAAATGCAAGAAATTCTATTAAAACCCCTGCATGACAAGACTATCAAATTGCAAATCCTGAAAAGCTAAGGAAATAACAAATTTGAGCTTGCCTACCGAGCCTTAATTCTGTTTCGTGGCTTGTAGAGTTACAATAAAGTTTAATTAGGTTGTCGCATAATATTTTGGGGAGGTGTTGGAGCTGGGCTCCCGCCTCATTCATTTTGCATGCTAATGCAGCGCAAGGCAGTTTTTTATGAAACACTGTCTGAGGGCCAGAGTACCTCACTTACTGCAGGGGCTGTGTGCTGTGTCATAAATAAGATTGGTGTTCGCAGCAGGCGGGAGCTGTACGGCATGCTGCAAATGTAGAATGATAATGAAGAGTTCAGATAGGGATGGGGTAACCACTTATTCCTTCACCCTGCAAGCCACCAACTGCTATTCCAGTCCTTCCAGTCCATCGCTGAGGAATACCAAGCTGATATTCCCATACTGGCTACCTCCTGAGTGCACATACATCCCCATGCTCTGATTGCCTGGGAACCCTTCAGCAGAAAATGTCAGGATGTTATGTGTCCCAAGTCAGAGACAAATCCTGAGGGACATGCTGACCCTTTTAAGTGCCCTGTGGCAAATTACTGCTGTGGGAATGACAACGGTTCCACATCTCACTGAGTCTTTTACTTTAATGATTATAATCTTGCTGTGTGGTTCTTCATAGAGGAGTTTCTTCATAGATAAACACGTTAAGCACGCCATCTCTTTTAATTCTCAGGCAGTAGTTAACATGAAATTCAGTTTCATGCAATAGAATTAATTCGTATTCAGGCAGTTGTTACTGTTCCCAGTAGATGAAAGCCTGATGGCCATTTATTTGAGGGGAGACCTGTCAGTATTCCCGATTCACAATTAAGGCTGGCATTTGGTCCTCAGATAAAAATCATGTATTTCCCCCAGAAATATTTTTCTGTTTATTTCTGATTGGTTTTAAATGCTGGAGTGAGTTTTCCTTTTTGCTACAAATACTGCTCTTCAAAATTGGAGTAAATGACAGTAGAACTTAAGCATAATAACAGAAGGCATCTCTGCTCCTGTAATTTCACTTTCTTTCTTCCCATGTTTGCAACAGTGGCAAAACGCTGAATGGCTTCAGTATTTCATCTTCAGGAAGGTAGAAAATATAGCCAAGGACGATGAGCCACACTGCAATGAGAAAGGGCTTCCAGAGCACTGAGGAATGTTCCCATTCCTTTAGGTTCAGCCAGCCCTTTTCTGTTTGTTGCTTCAATTTATGTAAATTACTAGAGTTCAAGTAGACTTAATATTTTATCATCCAAGACAGGAAGGGTCAGCCCTCCTTTCTTATACATTCCCTCTACTGGAAAAGTTTAGTTTCAGTAAAATGTCAGCCTTTGTATTTAAATATATTTCAGCAAGAAGATTTGCAAACTGTTATTTCTGCTGTCCCTCCCTGAAAGTGCCTCTCAAATAGCAAGATCTAAGGAATACTGCAAGACAACCACAGTTGGCACATAACAAAGCTTAAAGTCTGTTTCCGTTCTTAAAGCTCTTAAGATTAGTTGAGTCTTTGGATCAAATGCTGAATAAGCTACCTCATATTAATAATGGTTATCTGGGAATGTCCAGCAGGATTCTTCCACAGGTTCCCCTTTCTAAGACAAGATCAATAGATGAAGTAGCACAACTATTCACTTGCTCACTTGGAGACACCACGGTCTGCCCTGAAAAATGTGCACACCCCTCTGTGTCACACACTGAGCACCATGAAGTCCTATGATCTCTCCTATTTCCACAATAAATAAGAACATTAAGTAACATGTGAAGCTAGACAATAATAAGAGCCATTCTAAAACCACATCCTTGGTTTGTTTCCTAAAGACCAAGTCTAGGACTGGTCTGGGACATTGTGGATACCAGCATTTTCTGTTAGCATCTCCAGTTCCTACAGATACAGAGTTTAATTGAAGAATTATGCCATCCATTTGCAGAGATTATGTTCTCTACAAAACAGGTTCGGCATCACTCCACAAGTCTAAGTGTTTTGAAAAGCAAGTCCTGTGATATTACACTCACTTGTCTGACCTCCTCTCTTCAGGGTCAGCCATCCACTTCACTTTCTTTTGCTCCATCCCTCAGGTTTCAGGATATGTGGGGGGTTCTGGACATCCATGCATACATCCACAGTTTTTATCGCATCCTTCAACTGCTCTTGCATAGTTTGGTTGTGGGGACTTTGTTCTGCTGTTCATTCCTTCTAGTCCTGGCTTCACAGAGGACCTGAGTACCTTTCCTGGCTCTTGCTCTCTTGCAGGTTAGTTGCTGATTGGCAGGTCCTCAAGGGCTCTGTACTTACACTCCCTCTGGGACAGAGCAGAAGTTCAGGAATACAATTCTCACCCTGTATTAGTATCCATTTCCTTCTGTCATGGGAAATGCTCATGTAACCAAGACATTCTATTATTATTATCATAGAATCATAGAATCATAGAATATCCTGAGTTGGAAGGGACCCTTAAGGATCATCAAGTCCAACTCTTGACACCGCACAGGTCTACCCAAGTTCAGACCATGTGACTAAGTGCACAGTCCAATCTCTTCTTAAATTCAGTCAGGCTCGGTGCAGTGACCACTTCCCTGGGGAGCCTGTTCCAGTGTGCAACCACTCTCTCTGTGAAGAACCCCTTCCTGATGTCCAGCCTAAACTTCCCCTGCCTCAGCTTAACTCCGTTCCCGCGGGTCCTGTCGCTGGTGTTAATGGAGAAAAGGTCTCCTGCCTCTCGACACCCCCTTACGAGGAAGTTGTAGACTGCGATGAGGTCTCCCCTCAGCCTCCTCTTCTCCAGGCTGAACAGGCCCAGTGCCCTCAGCCGTTCCTCGTACGTCTTCCCCTCCAGGCCTTTCACCATCTTCATAGCCCTCCTCTGGACACTCTCCAACAGTTTCATGTCCTTTTTATACTGTGGTGCCCAGAACTGCACACAGTACTCGAGGTGAGGCCGCACCAGCGCAGAGTAGAGCGGGACAATCACCTCCCTCGACCTGCTAGCGATGCCGTGCTTGATGCACCCCAGGACACGGTTGGCCCTCCTGGCTGCCAGGGCACACTGCTGGCTCATATTCAACTTGCTGTCTACCACGACCCCCAGATCCCTCTCTTCTAGGCTGCTCTCCAGCGTCTCATCGCCCAGTCTGTACGTGCAGCCAGAGTTTCCCCGTCCCAGGTGCAGGACCCGGCACTTGCTCTTATTGAACTTCATGCGGTTGGCGATCGCCCAGCTCTCCAACCTATCCAGATCCCTCTGCAAGGCCTTTCCACCCTCATTCGAGTCCACAGCTCCTCCAAGTTTGGTGTCATCAGCAAACTTGCTCAAAATGCCTTCTATTCCTACATCCAGATCGTTTATAAAAATATTGAAAAGTACCGGCCCTAAAATGGAGCCTTGAGGGACCCCACTGGTGACCGCCCGCCAGCCTGACGCAGCCCCAT